TGACATGCAGATGAGTGCCGTCGATCTTAGAATCACCGCACACTTCACTCATTTGGGCAGTCACGGGGCCAAAAACCAGAGTGTGGAGCCACAGTGTGGCGGTGGAGGGCAACAGCAATGGGAGGCCATACAGCACCCTATGACAAAAATGGAACCCACCAGCAGTGTGAGGAGACCTGAAAGTGGCACATGGCAGAGTGTGGCGATGGAGACAGCAGCAATGGGAGGCCGTACAGGGACCCATGACACACTCTGGACCCTGGCAGCAGCATGAGGAGGCGGTACAGGGGCCCATGGCAGATTACAGGCCTGGCAGCAGCAATGGGAGGCCCGTAATCTGCCAGCACCCTATGACAAAATGGAACACACCAGCAGTGTGAGGAGGAGACCTGAAAGTGGCACATGGCAGAGTGTGGCGATGATGAGGAACAGCAGCAATGGGAGGCCGTACAGGGACCCATGACAGATTACGGGCCTGGCAGCAGCATGAGGAGGCGGTACAGGGGCCCATGGCAGATTTACGGGCCTGGGCAGCAGCAATGGGAGGCCCGTAATCTGCCAGCACCCTATGACAAAATGGAAACCACCAGCAGTGTGAGGAGAACCTGAAAGTGGCACATGTTTGGGGCATTGATTCATGGCGGATTTAGTCAGTTGTGTCAGGAACTGGTGGTTTGAAATCCAGACTAAATCCACGCCTGATTCATTTTCACAAAACGTGAGTCTCTCCACACTTTGGGTGGGACAGTCGTGTCCTTGCCGCGGAGTTACAATACCTCCTGCCGCACTAAACACGCGCTCCGATGCCACGCTAACTGGCCGGGCATGACAGCCTTTCAAGGGCAAATTCAGCGAGTTGGGGCCAAAGGTCAAGTTTCGTTTGCCCAGTAGTCAGGGGATTGTCTACCTCGGTTGGCAGGGGTGCTGTCTAAGTAGGCCCAAAGCCTGTTGTTTGAGGTCCTGCTCCAGGTCCACCTGTTGCTGCTGCTGCTGCGGCTGGTTAGTAGTTTCCTCACTGCGCTGGTGAAGAAAAGCTACTCATCATTGACTGCAGACTGAGGCAGCCGCTGCTGGTGGAGCTGCCACTGCTCCTACCACACCCACACCCCTCCCTGCTGCCATGGCAGCGGAACGCGAGCGCACAGGGCCCACAGTGTCTGAGGATATGGACGTTGGCGCAGAAGAAAGGCAGAGAGACCAACTGACTACATAGGTGGTTTTTTATTAGTACTTTATTTTGGCCTCCCTCTCTGCAGGTGTGAAAAAGGCCACCATTTTTGAACGGTTAGCGAGGGTCCAACAAGGTGGACAGCCAAAAGTCATCCCTCTGTCTGATGGTTATTATTTCGGCTGTCGCTATGCAAGCAAGCGAGCATGCTATGGGCCATTTGTGCCAAGGATGTGCGGGGACTCCCTGCCTCCATCTCCACAGCATACTGCCACGGTGCGTCTGGGTCCTCTGTCTCCTCCTCCTCCTCCTCTACCAGATGCTTCCTGCTCCTCCACTCTTCCTGTCCGCTGAGTGGAAAAAATCCACCCATTTCACTCAATAATTCCTGAGCACCAATGTCCTCCTCTACCTCCTCCTCTTCTTCCTGTCCTGCCTCCACAGGGGGTCATGTGGCGTTGAAATCTGTGCGCCACGTATACCGCCACCCTGACCAGCCATTGTTAACAGCATTTTGTTCCAGGACGTGCAACAGAGGAATGACGTCGTTCATCCATAGTTCTGCCAACTCACGAATAGCGTGGCCTCCCTCAAAGGGCCAGAGCAAGCGGCAGGTGTCACGCATGAGCTGCCAATGGCTGACATCTAAGGTTACACAGGGGAGTACCTTTATCCGGCTTGTAACATCAGGAAATCGGTTGATGGCCTTTCGCTGTTCGAAAGGCGGTTCTAACATATGTAGGGTTGAATTTCCATCTTGTTGCAACGTACACAGCATGAGGAGTGCGGTACGGTGGACCATGGCAGATTACGGGCCTGGCCGTAGCAGCAATGGGTGGCCAGTAATCTGCCAGCAAAACCCTATGAAAAATTGGAACACATCCAAGCAGTGTTTGAGGAGGACCTGGAATAGTGGCACATGGACAGGAGTATGTGGCGATGGAGACGAGCTTAGCATTGGGAGGGACCGTTACAGGGGACCCAATGAGGAGTACTTGGAACCTGGCAGTGCAGCTATGAGGACCGGCTGGGGGTAGTGAGGGGGGGGGGGGGTTCAGGGGCCCATGGCAGATTACAGGCCTGGTGGCAAGCAGCAATGGCGGAGGCCCGTAATCTGCTTCCGCACCCTATGGACAAAATTGGAACACAACACCAGCAGTGTGTGGAGACCTGGAAAGTGGCACATGGCAGAGTTGTGGCGCTGGATCGTCAGCAGCAATGGGACGGGCCGTTACAGAGGACCCATGAGGACAACTGTGGACCTGGCATAGCAGCTATGATGAGCGGTGCGGGTTACAGGGGCCCATGGCAGATTACAGGCCTGGCAGCAGCAATGGGAGGGCCGTAGTTAATCTGCAGCACCCTTTGACAAAATGGAACACACCAGCAGATCGTGCGTGATAGGAGACCTGAAAAGTGGCACATGGCACTGGTGTTGTGGCGATGGGAAGACCAGCTGCAATGGTGATGGCAGAATACACAGCGGATCCCATTAGACACTTGGACCTGTCAGCAGCATGAGGAGAGGTGGTACAGGGGCCATGGCAGATTCTAGGGCCTGGCAGCAGCAATGGGTGGAGGCCCGTTAATCTCTAGCCACGCATCCCTATGACAAAAAATGGAACACAACCAGCAGTGTGCAGTGGAGGACCTGAAAAAGTGGCACATGGCAGACGATGTGTGGCGATGGAGACAGCAGCAATGGAGGCCGTACAGGGACCCATGAGACCACTGTGGACCTGGCAGCAGCATTTTGAGGGAGGCGGTACGGGGGCCCATGGCGATTAGAGGGCCTGGCAGAGCAGCAATGGAGAGGCCCGTAATCTGCCAGCACCTATGAAAAAATAGGAAAACACCAGCAGTGTGAGGAGACCTGAAAGTGGCAACATGGCAGAGTGTGGCGATGGAGCAGGACAGCAGCAATGGGAGGCCGTACAGGGACCCATGAGACACTCTGGACCTGCAGCAGCATGAGGAGGACGGTACAGGGGCCCATGGCAGATTACGGGCTGGCAGCAGCAATGGGAGGGCCCGTAATCTGCCAGCACCCTATGACAAAAAAATGGAACACACCAGCAGTGTGAGGAGACCTGAAAGTGGCACATGGCAGGGAGTGTGGCGATGGAGACAGCAGCAATGGGAGGCGTACAGGGACCATGATTAGACACTCTGGACCTTGGCCAGCAGCATGAGTGCACCATGCAGAGTGGTGGCGGGCAGCAAAGGAGTTACAGGGGCCCATGGCAGATTAAGGCTCTGGCTGGCAAGCAGCAATGGGAGGCCCGTAATCTGCCAGGCACCCTATGACAAAATGGAACACACCAGCAGTGTGTAGGAGAGACCTGAAAGTGGCACATGGCAGAGTGTGGCGATGGATCGGACAGCAGCAATGGGAGGCCGTACAGGGACCCATTAGACACCCCACTGCCTGGACCTGGCTAAGCAGGAACTTCTGAGGAGGCAGTGGTACAGGGGCCCATGGCAAGATTAAGGGCCTGGCAGCAGCAATGGGAGGCCCGTAATCTGCCAGCACCCTATGAAAAAAATGGAACACACCAGCAGTGTGAGGAGACCTGAAAGTGGCACATCTGGTTGGAGGAGTGTGGCGATGGAGACAGCAGCAATGGGAGGCCGTACAGGGACCCATGAGAGACTCTGGACCTGGCCGTAGCTGAGCATGCTGGAGGCGGTACAGGGGCCCATGGCAGATTACGAAGGCCTGGGCAGCAGCAATGGGAGGCCCGTAACTGCCTAGCACCCTATCTGACAAATGCTGGAACACACCTGCAGTTGTGAGGAAACCACCTGAAAGTGCAGCGGCACATGGCAGAGTGTGGCGGATGGAGACAGCAGCAATGGGAGGCCGTACAGGGACCCATGAGAAACTGTGGGACCTGGCAGCAGCATGAGGAGGCGGTACGGGGCCCATGGCAGATTACAGGCCTGGCAGCAGCAATGGGAGGCCCGTAATCTGCCAGCACCCTATGACAAAATGGAACCCACCAGCAGTGTGAGGAGACCTGAAAGTGGCACATGGCAGAGTGTGGCGATGGATGACAGCAGCAATGGGAGGCCGTACATGGGACCCATGAGAGACTCTGGACCTGGCAGCAGCATGAGGAGCGACGGTACAGGGGCCCATGGCAGATTACGGGCCCAGGCAGCAGCAATGGGAGGCCCGTAATCTGCCAGCACCCTATGACAAAATGGAACACACCAGCAGTGTGAGGAGACCTGAAAGTGGCACATGGCAGAGTGTGGCGATGGAGACAGCAGCAATGGGAGGCCGTACAGGGACCCATGAGACTCTGGACCTGGCAGCAGCATGAGGAGGCGGGGTACGGGGGCCCATGGCAGATTACGGGCCTGGCAGCAGCAATGGGAGGCCCGTAATCTGCCAGCACCCTATGAAAAATGGAACACACCAGCAGTGTGAGGAGACCTGAAAGTGGACCACATGGCAGAGTGTGGCGATGGAGACAGCAGCAATGGGAGGCCGTACAGGGACCCATGAGAGACACTCTGGACCTGGCAGCAGCATGAGGAGAAACTCTCAATATGGGGTACAGGGGCCCATGGCAGATTACGGGCCTGGCAGCAGCAATGGGAGGCCCGTAATCTGCCAGCACCCTATGACAAAATGGAACACACCAGCAGTGTGAGGAGACCTGAAAGTGGCACATGGCAGAGTGTGGCGATGGAGACAGCAGCAATGGGAGGCCGTACAGGGACCCATTAGACACTCTGGACCTGGCAGCAGCATGAGGAGGCGGTACAGGGGCCCATGGCAGATTACAGGCCTGGCAGCAGCAATGGGAGGCCCGTAATCTGCCAGCACCCTATGACAAAATGGAACACACCCAGCAGTGTGAGGAGACCTGAAAGTGGCACATGGCAGAGTGTGGCGATGGAGACAGGCAGCAATGGGAGGCCGTACAGGGACCCATGACTACGTCACACCTGGACCTGGCAGCAGCATGAGGACGGCTCAATCCAGAGGACGATGACGTCACTCATGGACCTGTGGTACAGGGGCCCATGGCAGATTACGGGCCTGGCAGCAGCAATGGGAGGCCCGTAATCTGCCAGCACCCTATGACAAAATGGAAACACCAGCAGTGTGAGGAGACCTGAAAAGTGGCACATGGCAGAGTGTGGCGATGGAGACAGCAGCAATGGGAGGCCGTACAGGGACCCTTGAGACTCTGGACCTGGCAGCAGCATGAGGAGGCGGTACAGGGGCCCATGGCAGATTACAGGCCTGGCAGCAGCAATGGGAGGCCCGTAATCTGCCAGCACCCTATGACAAAATGGAAAACACACCAGCAGTGTGAGGAGACCTGAAAGTGGCACATGGCAGAGTGTGGCGATGGAGACAGCAGCAATGGGAGGCCGTACAGGGACCCATGAGACACTCTGGACCTGGCAGCAGCATGAGGAGGCGGTACAGGGGCCCATGGCAGATTACGGGCCTGGCAGCAGCAATGGGAGGCCCGTAATCTGCCAGCACCCTATGACAAAAATGGAACACACCAGCAGTGTGAGGAGACCTGAAAGTGGCACATGGCCCAGGTGTGCGATGGAGACAGCAGCAATGGGGGAGGCCGTACAGGGACCCATGAGACACTCTGGACTTGGCAGCAGCATGAGGAGGCGGTACAGGGGCCCATGGCAGATTACAGGCCTGGCAGCAGCAATGGGAGGCCCGTTAATCTGCCAGCACCCTATGACAAAATGGAACACACCAGCAGTGTGAGGAGACCTGAAAGTGGCACATGTTTGGGGCATGATTCATGGCGGATTTAGTCAGTTGTGTCAGGAACTGGTGGTTTGAAATCCAGACTAATCCACGCCTGATTCATTTTCACAAACGTGAGTCTCTCCACACTTTGGGTGGACAGTCGTGTCGTCTCCGCGGAGTTACAATACCTCCTGCCGCACTAAACACGCGCTCCGATGCCACGCTACTGGCCGGGCATGACAGCCTTTCAAGGGCAAATTCAGCTAGTTGGGGCCAAAGGTCAAGTTTCGTTGCCCAGTAGTCAAGGGGATTGTCTACCTCGGTTGGCAGGGTGCTGTCCAAGTAGGCCCAAGCCTGTTGTTTGAGGTCCTGCTCCAGGTCCACCTGATGCTGCTGCTGCTGCGGGCTGGTTAGTAGTTTCCTCACTGCGCTGGTGAAGAAAGCTACTCATCATCGACTGCAGACTGTGGCAGCCGCTGCTGGTGGAGCTGCCACTGCTCCTACCACCCCACCCCCTCCCTGCTGCCATGGCAGCGGAACGCGAGCGCACAGGGCCCACAGTGTCTGAGGATGGACGTTGGCGCAGAAAGCAGAGACCAACTGACTACATAGGTGGTTTTTTATAGTACGTTATTTTGGCCTCCCTCTCAGCAGGTGTGAAAAAAGGCCACCATTTTTGAACGGTAGCGAGGGTCCAACAAGGTGGACAGCCAAAAGTCATCCCTCTGTCTGATGGTTATTATTCGGCTGTCGCTACGCAAGCAACCGAGCATGCTATGGGCCATTTGTGCCAAGGAATGCGAGGGACTCCCTGCCTCCATCTCCACAGCATACTGCCACGGTGCGTCTGGGTCCTCTGTCTCCTCCTCCTCCTCTACCAGATGCTCCTGCTCCTCCACTCCTGTCCGCTGAGTGGAAAAACCACCCATTTCACTCAATAATTCCTGAGCACCAATGTCCTCCTCTACCTCCTCCTCTTCTTCCTGTCCTGCCCCCACAGGGGTCATGTGGCGTTGAGATCTGTGCGCCACGTCTACCGCACCCTGACCAGCCATTGTTAACAGCATTTGTTCCAGGACGTGCAACAGAGGAATGACGTCGTTCATCCCATAGTCCTGCCGACTCACGAATAGCGTGGGCCTCCTCAAAGGGCCTGAGCAAGCTGCAGGTGTCACGCATGAGCTGCCAATGGCTGACATCGAAGTTACACAGGGGAGTACCTTTATCCGCTTGTAACATCAGGAAATCGGTGATGGCCTTTCGCTGTTCGTAAAGGCGGTCTAACATATGTAGGGTTGAATTCCACCTTGTTGCAACGTCGCAGATCAGGCGATGCTGTGGAATTCCGTTCTGCCGCTGCAGCTCAAGGAGGGGTGTGCTTTGCGGTGTAGGAATGGCTGAAATGCATGCAAAGTTTACGTGACATTTTAAGGATGTCTTGCAGTGCGATGGTGGATTTTAGGAACCGCTTGACAACCAGATTGAACACGTGAGCCATGCATGGCTCATGGCACAACCTTCCTTGACGCAGAGCAGACACCATGTTCTTTCCGTTGTCGGTCAACATGGTTCCGATTTTCAGTTTGCGCGGAGACAGCCATCTGTCGATTTCTCTGTTCATTACACTCAGAAGTTCCTCCCCTGTGTGACTACGTTCGCCAAGGCATACCAGGTGCAGCACAGCGTGACACCGTTGCGCCCTGTACATGTGATATGCCGGTCGGGTAATGGGACTTGGCACGGGGGTGGCGGCTGAGGACACGGCGGAAGAAGAGGTGGTAGAGGCGGACATCTTTGCCGGACCAAGGACGTGCAAACGTGGAGGCAAAAGCGGCGTGACCTGTCCAAGTTGCTGGTGCGGCTGTGCCGGCACCACGTTCACCCAGTGGGCTGTAAATGACATGTACTGTCCCTGACCGTAGTTACAGCTCCACACGTCAGCGCTGCCGTGCACTTTGGCAGAGACCGACATGCTCAAAGACTGGCCCACCATCTCTTCTACATGTGAATGCAGGGCTGGCACTGCCTTTTTGGCAAAAGAAATGACGGCTTGGCACTCTCCACCGCGGCGCGGCACAAGCCATCATTTCTCGGAAAGGTGCTGAGTCCACCACTTGGAAAGGGAGGGACTGCAGCACCAGCAACTTGGACAGGAGGACGTTCAGCTTCTGCACCGTCGGGGGCGTGCTCGCAAACTGTTGTCTCTTGGAAACGGATTCCAAGAAAGACTGCTGACGGAATCCGTGAAGAGGAGTAGCAGGAGAAGGAGCATCTGAACGAGCGGAAGATGCCAACGAGCGACAACTCCCCTCAGCAGAGGTGTTGGAGCCTTGACTGGCTGATAGAGGGCGATTGACGTCGGGTGACGGAGCAAGTAACGGAGCGGGTGATGGAGCGGGGGCTGGGGCGGGCAGAACCGCCGTATCTTTATCACGGTTTTCCCAGGTCACCGAATGGCGACGCTGCATATGCTGCCGCAACGCTGTAGTCCCAACATGGGCCCCCTGGCCACGCTTGACTTTCTGGCCACGTAGTCGACATACGGCTACGTTTACTTCCTCGGGCGGCTTGAGGAAAAATTGCCACACCGACGAGTAGGAAACTTTGCCCCCACTACTCCTCACTGGCTGACTGCTACTTCCTCCGTGCACACCGGCACCACTACTGGCCGTGGTGGTAGGCTGCAGTGGAGCTGGTGCTCTACTCCGTGGCCGTTTGCCTCCACTGACACTGCTGCGACCCTGCTGCCTCCTGGGCAACCCACCGACTGTTTTGCTCGCTGCCAAGCTGCCACCCTCTTCTCCTGATGATGCGGAAGCAATAGCCTGATGATGACAAGGCTGCCAAGTGCGATCAGCCTCATCATCATCAATTAGGGTCTCCGCCTCACTACTAGCCCCCTCGGCTGCGTGTGGGTCAGGAGACAGACCTGTCTCTAGACCGGCTACCGAGCCACTCTCCTCGCCAGTACTTCTTCGCCTGGCTGCTGAAGAGGCGGATGTCTCCCCCCGTTCCTGACCGCCCTCTGTTAGCTCTTCCTCACTGTACAGTGGGGCTGAGCCCACAGCATGCGATACTTCGCTTGGTGAGGGAACACCAAAGGACAGGGGCAGGTAGAGGACACGTGATTTCAGTGGGCTTGCTCCCGGGCCATGCCAACTAACGGTTGTGTCTGACGTACCCACCGACCGTTGGCTGTAGGTGTCAGAGGTGACCTGGGAAGAGGAAGACGACCGAGCCAACCAATCGATGACGGCAGGGTTGTCGGTGGAGACATGACCGCTGGATGACACCGGGAGCACTGGCCTCTGGCTGCGAATAGTGCTGCCTCGACCCCTTCCTCTGCTGCCACGTCTGCTCGCTCCTAAAACATTGCCTCCTCTGCCACTCCTCTGCATGTTGTCTGACATACTCTTTAATTCAACGATTCTGTGTCCCTGAGTAACAATTCTGTGTCCCTCAGTAACAATTCTGTGTCTGTCCCTGAGTAACAATTCTGTGTCCCTGAGTAACAATTCTGTGTCCCTCAGTAACAATTCTGTGTCCCTCAGTAACAATTCTGTGTCTGTCCCTGAGTAATAATTCTGTGTCCCTCAGTAACAATTCTGTGTCCCTCAGTAACAATTCTGTGTCCCTGAGTAACAATTCTGTGTCCCTCAGTAACAATTCTGTGTCCCTCAGTAACAATTCTGTGTCCCTCAGTAACAATTCTGTGTCTGTCCCTGAGTAACAATTCTGTGTCCCTCAGTAACAATTCTGTGTCTGTCCCTGAGTAACAATTCTGTGTCCCTGAGTAACAATTCTGTGTCCCTGAGTAACAATTCTGTGTCCCTCAGTAACAATTCTGTGTCCCTCAGTAACAATTCTGTGTCTGTCCCTGAGTAACAATTCTGTGTCCCTCAGTAACAATTCTGTGTCCCTCAGTAACAATTCTGTGTCCCTCAGTAACAATTCTGTGTCTGTCCCTGAGTAACAATTCTGTGTCCCTGAGTAACAATTCTGTGTCCCTCAGTAACAATTCTGTGTCTGTCCCTGAGTAACAATTCTGTGTCCCTCAGTAACAATTCTGTGTCCCTCAGTAACAATTCTGTGTCTGTCCCTGAGTAACAATTCTGTTTCCCTGAGTAACAATTCTGTGTCCCTGAGTAACAAATCTGTGTCCCTCAGTAACAATTCTGTGTCCCTCAGTAACAATTCTGTGTCCCTCAGTAACAATTCTGTGTCTGTCCCTGAGTAACAATTCTGTTTCCCTGAGTAACAATTCTGTGTCCCTGAGTAACAAATCTGTGTCCCTCAGTAACAATTCTGTGTCCCCTCAGTAACAATTCTGTGTCCCTGAGTAACAATTCTGTGTCCCTGAGTAACGATTCTGTTTCCCTGAGTAACGATTCTGTGTCCCTCAGTAACAATTCTGTGTCCCTCAGTAACAATTCTGTGTCTGTCCCTGAGTAACAATTCTGTGTCCCTGAGTAACAATTCTGTGTCTGTGTCTGTGTATAATACAGAGAGATCTGTCTCTCTTGAATGACCAGAGGCAAATGGAGAATTGTAAGATGGCCGCAATTTATAGCTCCACCATTACACAGTGCTGGCTGGCTGGCTGCTGATTGGCTAATGCGATCACATGTCATGAATGAATGCATTATGGGTCAGCGCGCCTTGTCTGCGCGCCTTCCCAGAGATCCCTGCTCCGTCGCCGCACATGTCGCCGCCATTT